CTGGGACCCCCTTGGTTGGGGGCACACAACCCCCAAATTGATTGGAAGCAGGGTTGTCCAGTTCTGTCACCCCTACTCCCGGGAAAATTTTTCACCCCGACCTCTGTGGTCCCGTCGCTCCTTAATCGATGGGGGCAAGCTATCCAAATCATCCCCCCGCTTACACGACTACTTAGAGTTTTTAGAAAAGGGGGCTGATATTTTTTTCCCTCCACATCGGACCTATGAGTGCTATGACCTCCTACCCGGACCCCGAAAACCCGTTCGGAGGATTTTCCCCTTCGAGGGGTTTTGGGGGGGGTCTCGGGTAATTGAGGGAAAACCCCGGAAAAAGGGTTTACCCCCCCTCCACATTACGGCCGGGCGGATCTTCTTTGTTAAAAAAAGGATATGTCCCTCAGGCCTGTATCGATTCCGTGACTTGAAAGATTACATTAAAAATCATTACCCCCCTTCCCCCTTGGGTTCCCGAACTGTTCAAAGGTTAAAGACAGCAGCCGTTTTTTTACCAAATTTGTTTTAGGGGCACTATAACCCAGTCCGCATAAGGGAGGGGGACGGAGTGGAAGATGCATTTCGCCAAGATTTGGGGGACTTTGAAATTTTTGTAAAGCCCTTCGGTGTGCAATGCCCCAGCTACATTTAAGCTTTTTTAATAACATATTCAGGATTATCGGCTTTGTGGGTTTTTTTACTGGATGACATTTTGTCTTTTCCCCCTTTCTGGGACCATAGGGGTATTTAGAAAATGTGTTGGAAGTTTACGCCAACACGGGTTGTATGACAAAGCAGCTTTGCTCGCCAGCTTTTCTTTTTGGGGCTGTCTCTCCAGCGGGGGGTTGCGTTGGGTCCCCAAAAAGGTCTCGGGGAAACTAGAATGGCCGTCCCAGGACAAGAAGGGGTACAACGTTTTTAGGGTTTCCAAAATTTTTCCGAAAGTTCATCAAGAAAATTTTCGGGCCCCGTGTTCCCCCTTACTAGCTCACCCGCAGGGAACCCGTTTCCGGTGGCGCCGGGCCAACCGCATTTGAGACCTTGAAGAAGTGTTATTCTGCCCCTATCTTTAGTCATCCTGATCTCTCTGCCTTTCTTTTGGAAGTTGACGCTTCGGAGAACGCAGGGGGCCTCCCGTCCTAGCGAAGGGTACAAAGAATTAGCACCGGTGGCATTTTTTTCTAGAAAAGTTGACGTCAGCGGGGGAGAAATATGAATCGGCGCCGGGAATCCTGGCTATCAAGACACATGGGGAGGGGTGGTGGTACGTCAGTCCATAAATTTTTGGGAATCGAACATTCTAAATTTTTGGTCTATACCCCCCACAATGGATTTGAAATGAAACAAAAAGTGTGCTTTAACTGTAGACTGTCAGTTTTAATTTGGGGTATTTACACCCAAAAATCAGGAAAACGGTGTAGGAATTTTAACAGTTTGATATGTGCCTCCCACTTTTTAAAGGGGCCCAAAAAAGTATGGGAAAATGGCTTTCAGCTTTTCCCCAGGGCCCGGTGTGTGTTATTCCCTCATTATCCCAATTACAATGAGCAGATAAAAGGCCCAGAGTTAATTTTCAAGGTGCTTTTGCTTGGGAAAATCTGTTGCTGTCAACTCTCAGTGAGACCCAAAAGAGCTGTACTATCAGTAAAGCAAGCCTCATTAGGCTGAAAAAACAAAAAAAACCAAAAACCCATCAGGAGATGCATTAGGTGGCCCAAAAACTTTTTGGGAAAACATTTTTAAAAAAAAAAGGAACGACTGGTGAGCTCAGAAAACACCAAAAGACCGGAAGCCCTGGAAAAAAAAACTGTGGTGGTGAGCGAAAATTCTTTCCCTGGGAAGAAAAACCCTTCACAACAGTTGGCCCGATAAAAAATCTCCCGGGGTAGGTGATGTGTGTCAAAGTCAACAATCAAGAGAAGACTTCACCAGAGTGAATACAGGGGTTCCCCCAAAAGTGGAAACCTTGGTGGCCTCAAAAACAGGAAAAAGGCCCGATTAGGTTTTCCCAAAAGACATGTAAAAAAGCCCTTTACAGTTTGGAAACATCCTATGGACAGATGAGACCAAAATCAACTTTACAGAGTGGGGAAAGGAAGGATGGGGAAGGGAAAAGGGAAGCTCTGATCCGTGCATACCCCCTCATGTGAAGCATGGTGGTGGGGGTGTCATGGCGTGGGCTGTATGGCTGCCAATGAAAAATGGGTTTTCCGTTTTATTTGATGGGGGGATGCTGCAAAAGCGAGGATGAATTTGAAGTGTTGGGCAATTTTTTCGCTATATTCACCAAATGCTTCACAACTATTGGACGCCGTTCACAGTGCAGAGGACAAGACCCAAAACAGACTGCAAAAGAACCCAAAAAAAAATTTTTTAGGGAAAGAAGTGGAATGTTCTGCAATGGCCAAAATCATCACCCGACCTGTCCGAATTTAGATGCATTTCACTTGCTGAAGACAAAAATGAAGGAAAATGCCCCCAAAAACAAGCAGGAACTGAAAACAGTTGCGTAGAGGCCTGGGAGAGTCACAGGGTTTTAAACCCCGGGTTTTGGTGAAGTCTATGCGTTCAGATTCGGCTGTTTGATGCAAAAGGATTTGCAACCCGTATTAAAAAATGGAAAAATTTGATTTATGATTATTATTCTGCCCTTACTTTTGGTCCCTTAACAATGGGGGGCAATATGAAAACGTTTTAATTCCCACACCCTTCACCTGATTTTGGGTGTAAATCCCCCCATTAAAGCTGACAGTCTGCAGGTTTTAAAACGCATCTTTTTCATTTAATTTAAAATCCATTGTGGGGGGTGTATAGGCCAAAATGTTAGAAATTGTGTCGATGTCCCCAAAATTTAGGACCCGACTGTACCTACTGGGAAGGGGCCTCACATCCAAATTTTTTTTTTTACTGACCACAAGAACTGGGATTTGGAAAAGCCCAAAAACCAAGCAAGAGGGCACTCTTTTTTTCCCGTTTTGTTCCACATCACTTACAGACCCGGGTCCCGAAAACAAAGCCCGAACTCTTTAATATGTTTGAGAAACCCAAAAATTGCGCTAAACCGAATTTCCCGTCCATGGGAAACTTTTTCACCCCCCCCAAACAGAACTACGCTCTAGGTTTTAGACCGATCCATGGGAATGCCAAAACCCCGCCCGGGGGTTCTACAGAGCGGAGGGTCTCTTTTGGCAAGAAGGGCAAATTTTGGTACCTGGGAGGCCCGAAACCTTAGTTCGGGGGCCTGCCCGTCATCTCTGGCAGGCCATTTTGGAACCCCGAAAACCTTGGAACTCTCAGCGGACTTCGGTGGCCAAAAATGGGTAGAGATTTTGAAATTTACGTGAAAAAATGACCACGTGTCAAGGGAAAAAGCCCCTGAAATGGCCTGGGGCTTCTAAAAAATTTCCCTACTGGATCGACTTGGGGAGATGACTGATGGGTTTTATTGTGGGTCCCCTATCCCCAAGGCCATTCAGGATTTTTTTAATCGTTTATCGTTTTTCAAGAGGCCCTTTTCTGCCACTAAAGGTAGCCCTCGGCTAGGGAAACAGCCTTTGTAAAAGAAATAGTAAAGCTCCAGGGATTCCGGGAAGAATCATCTCGGCCAGGGCCAATTTACCTCAAAGGTTGGGGGAAAGCATTATGCGAGATTCGGGAATCAAGCTGTCCCTTTTATCGGTCCACCCGAGGAAAGGGCAGGCAGGACAAAACCAAAAGTGGAACAGTACTTGAGATGTTACACTCTTTCTCCAAGACGACTGGCGGGCACTCTTTCCCTTGGGGGGGTTCTTTGTACATAACAGGAATCATTCTGCTAGGGGCAATCCCCATTCTTCCCCAAATTACGGATTTCACCCCATGTTTTTCCGACCTGTTCCGGCTACACAGAATTGTGGATTTTTTCTCCACCAATAAAAAAGGTACTTCAAGAAGCCTTAAAAAGGCCCAGGGGCTTTTGGGGCCTTCGACAGGAAAAAGAGATGAGCTAAGCTTGCAACCGGGGGGACCAGGTCTGGTAGCTATTTCAATTTTGAGGATGTCTTCCCCCTCAAAAAAAGTGGGGCCGAAATTTATGGCCCTTTCCATGTAAAACGGGGGGTAAATGGGTGGCACTCCCAAGGCCCCTTCACGTTTCACCAAATGTTTCACATGCCCTACTGAAGCCAGAAATCCCAGATCCCTTCCGGACAAAGGCAGGCCTCGGAGCTAAAAACCATAAACGAACAAGGAGAATTTGAGGTTAGGCAATCATTGTTGCGGGGAAAAGAGGCGGCGCACAGTTCCTGTCAAGTGGAAGGGAGGGGCCCTAAAGAGAATGCGTGGGAAACCGGCCCAAAATGTTCACGCCCTAGACTGGTCGGGATTTTCTATCGTGGCCCCAGGGGAGGAGAGATCGGTTGGGCATCCGGGGAAGTGCCGGTAGGGGGGTGGCAATGTCAGGGATCGTAACCGAATTTGGATCCGCGCATGCGCGGAGCCCCAATTACACTACCCGGCGGACACTAGGACCTGGGCGGTGGGGGCGCGCAGCGCCTGCGATCGCGGACCCCGCCGGGACCAAGGGAGGGTGCACTATTTAAACCTGCCCTGCACTTACATATTGCCGTATGGTCTTTTTTCCTGTATCCCCGCTATTTAAGATTCATTGCTGACTTTGCCTGAAACCCGACCTCTGCTGACTTCTCCTGCTTGACCCCCCGCTAGTTTGACCTCTCTTCTGGTATCCCTAAACCTGATCTGACCCTTTTGGTTTCCGACCCCGGCGATGATTGATAATCTTCTGCTGCGCCTTGTATACGTGATCCCCTGTTTTTTACCCCGGCCCGTTTGACCCCGCTTTCTTGTCATCCATCCCCATCTGCTCGGACCCAGCCTTCTGCCCCTTAGTTAGGCTCTCTACCGCATATACCTTGGGGATTTCCCCCTACCACAGGCGGGTGTATCAGGGGCCGCGACCTGGTTCCCGTCTGCTCCAAGTCCATCCCCCCCTCGGGGGCCCCGGTGAAAAAGCAGATGAGGTTAGACTCCGCACTCTGGGGGAAACCTTTTCTGTGGATGCTTGAGGCACCGCCAGACGGTTATTAACAAAAGTACAGAAGAATCCCGAGATGCGGACACGTTTTCGGAGATGACTGAGATGCGGACCAGTACAGGAGTGACCAGAGATGCGGACACAGTACGGGAGCCAGAGACTGCGGACACGTACAGGAGATGACCAGAGACTGCGGACACAGTAAGGAGATGACCAGAGACGGGGGGACACGTACAGGGGGACCAGAGATGGGGACACAGTCGGGGTGCCCAGAGATGCGGACACAGTACGGGGATGACCGGGAGACTGGGGGCATGTGCAGGGGTGACCGAGACTGCGGGATAGTACAGGAGATGCCCGGGGAGAAGCAGACGTACGGGGTGCCGAGATGCAGGACAGAAAAGGGGATGACCAGAGACGCAGGACAGTACGGGGATGCCCAAAAAACTGCGAAGTACGGGGGATGCCGAGATGCGACAGTACAGGAGATGCCCAAAGATGCAGACAGTAAAAGGGGAGACAAGGAGACTGTGGACCTTTGGGGGGGGGGGGAGTGGGTAATGAGTTTGACGGTACCCACCCCCCTTTTCCGCGGGGGTTTGTTTTCCCTTTAGTGGGGAACCCGGGTGTGACAGTCGGGTGCTTAGCACATGCGCGAGAAGCGCGCGCTTTGTAAAGGGCCCCGGGCGTCTTTGGGACACATGACGGTCCAGAAGACGCCCCAGGATTCACAAAACACGTGCTTCTCTTGCATGCGCAGTGAGCCCCGGCTGTCACGCCGGGTTCCCCTATAAAGATGCCGGAGGGGAAAGAATAAGGTAAGGTCCTGCTGCACGGAAGAGTGAGCGGCCGGCCCGGGATTTTGACACGGTTGTCAGCGGCGGAAAATACCGGACGGCCTTCTATTTCATCCCTAAGACCCACTGACATTTTTCCCCCTTTTTTGGGGGGAAAAAAGTGCGTCTTTGGAGTGAAAAAAACGGGGAATTAGAAAAGCCTTATTAAATTACAAAAATATCCAAAAATCTACTGTATAAAAAAAAATAAACCACCTTCCACACCCTGAAAGACAAATTGCTTTTGTACCCAAATGCATGTCAGACGTCAATGCACAAAAAAAACATACGCCCACAATACTGTATAGCGTTTCAGGAAAAAAAATCTGTATTTGAGGTATGGCCCTGATTCTAGATGTGAGTTTTACAGCGGTCTGGCCATTCAGCAGACTCCGGTCAATCAATCATCGTCTGACCAGCGTTTTCAAAAACCCTTAACGAGGTTTTTTACTGTCTTTGCTTTACTAAATGTGGGATCCGTTTTGGCACATTTTTAGGTGCAATACCAGATATGTTCGCTAGATGGCGCACAAGCGTGGGCTTT